CGTGAGCGTGTTTTTCGAGTTTGTCCACATCTTACGACCCAAATGCGCACGTGCCGGGCTTGCTCAGTCTCGCTTGATAAACATCCGGCAACAGGGTCCTGAGACCCTAGTGTAGAACTTATCCACCGGCCCCCCCCAACTTTCCCTCCTTTTCTGTCAAGAAGGCTTCCTAAACCCACATGCCCCCCACTTTCAATGTACGACGACAGGAAGAGGTTTAGGGCGTCGGGTTGGGGATGTGGGCTTTGGGCTTGAGAGTTTAGGAGCTTGGGGCTTGAGAGTTTAGGAGTTTCTGCCACCCCAAACCCCCTAAAACCCCAGCCACGAGGAGGGTTGTTGGGCAAGCGACTAGGGGTTGCTTCCGCGACAGGTTCCTACTTAAATTTATAGGGCTTCGAGTCCTCGTCGTCGATGATATCTGCCCAGGCGGGGCTCCTGAGGAATGCTGCTTTGCACTGCGAAGCAGATGGTCCGATGATATCTGTTGCAGCGGCTTGGCATTTCATGTCGCTTACTGGCTCTTTATCGGGAATTTTGGGAATTAGGTAATTATGCCGGTATCCCCCTATGTGTTCCTTTAGGGGGTAGGGCACCCATTTGGGGAGGGGATCTCAGCTTGGCAGTTCTGAGCACCGCACGTATCCACGTTGACCGTGGTTTTCACATCCACCGGCTGGCCTGCATCTGATGATTTTAGGCTTTTTTTGGCATAGGGCTTAGGGACCTAGGATTGTTTTGCATATCGGTGCACTCAGGGTTTGGGGCTTAGGGTTTAGGGCCCTTACCCGCCCTTAACCCTGCACATCCTGAGTTTCGGGTCTGCCTTCTCCACTCAAACTGAAGACAGTGCATCACCACACCCGAGCTGGGAATGCCGGCGTCCCCAAATGAAAATGGAAAATGGTAAATCTTCAGAAACCCTAATCCCTAAACCCTAAACCCTAAACCCTAAACCCTAAACTTAAACCCTAAACCCTAAACCGTGTGCTTCGGGCTTCTAAGCTAAGCCGACTCACAAGCTCTCGGAGCCACTCCGACCCCTACACGTCTAAACTAGTCCAAACTCACCCGAAGCCGTGAGTCTCAAACTCAGCCGAAAGCGGCAACCCTACACCCTAAAAACCCGATTAACCCTAAACCCTCCGAGGTGGCCTTCATCACACGCAGCATCCTCGTCAAGCAGTGGCTTTGATGAAGCGGTTTAGGGTGTAGGGTTGTACTGCAAAATGCTGTCCACCATCCCATTGTGCGCAGCCTGTGTACAGAGATTGCAGGAGGGTTTGGGATTCAGGGCTTTGGTGTGTGCAGGCCGCGCCCGGCTGTGGGCATCAGATCATTTTCCTGGAAAATACCCGCAAGAAGCCTCCCTCAACCGTGGAAAGTTGTGGAGCGCAGGACTTCCGGATGCTTCCGCGCTGATAGGGTTTCGGGAAGCAGCCAAGGCCCCACCTCCTGCGCATCTCCTGCGATCTGCTGCTCCAAGAGCGCCATCTGCCACCGGGAAGAATCTTACCCTAAACCCTAATCCTTCGCCTAAAGAGGACCCCTAGCTTTCGGAAACCCTGCGGTAGATTTCATGTACTCCAAAACGCTGTCCACTGGCAGATGGTATCCCCGTTCCGAAGATGCAAATCTGGCACTACTTTGACGTAATGCGAAAATCGAATGGATCGCCATGGAACGGGCACATATCATACACTGCACATACGTGTGTTGTAAGTATGGTGGACCAATTGCAATCGCTTGGCTGGGGATCTTACACTTGCAGTACCTGCACGCCGGCAAAGGCACCTTCAATGCCAAGCCAGCTCCGCACAATGCTCGAAATGAAATCGTGCACCGGAAACGCCAAAAGCTGGAAAACCCAAACCGAAACCCTTAACTCGACCAAGAAGCCACCATTTCCTCCAACATGGAGAACTCGGAAGGTGAAAGAGCCTTCGCCTGACATGGTGTTCGTATGTATCGCGGCAGAAAACGGCTGCGGAACGGGTTACTCAGAGTTTGCAGGAAGCCCTCCATGTCATGGCCAGTGTCTGTTGGGCACACGGGGATTTCATGGCCACCCTTACAACAAGGGCTGTGCATCGCATGCGAAAACTCCAGACATTCATGGGCATTTATTGACCTAGCGGGAGCCACAAGGTCTGAAGATGTGACCGGTCAGCACCCTTCCACAACAAAGAACAAAGGATAGTTTCGCATGGTCTTGAACCGACTTTACACTCTGTGGTGCCTCATCCCGCACGCGGTATGCAAGGTGAACATCAGCAGCAGTGTTGAGAACTTGCGTGTCGCGAATCCACGGCTCGTGCAAGAATGATGCTCTCAAGACTGCCGGCACTCATCTGGATGACTTTGATGTCCCTTGTAAACAGATGCTCAAAAACACTGTTTAAGTACAGGAGAGGTCTTTCTTTAGGTGGGCTTTCTCGGCAACGAGCGCCATTTGGAGGATCATGAAATATGGACTTCGGGGCGATATGTGCTGCGAAAACTAGCAGCGCACCCCAACCCATCTGCCTGGGCGGTTAGTTCATGCGAACTCTCTCAAAGCACGGATTCGAACCTGACACTGCCCGGCAGCTTCTGCTGAAACCTCAAGAACCCACACGACAACTTCAGGATGCCCCGATCGTATCAGCCCGCGCGCAACAAGGGGTTGGAAGAAAAAACCGGCCTGCAGGTAGAACGTTCGCGTCCATTGCAGATCCATGGCTCATGAGACTATACTAGACTAGAATGAGAAAATTATGCTCCTTCAAGAACGGCCTAGTTTCTGATGTCCAAGATGACCGAGGCATTTGGGTGGACACCCCCGGGGATAGGCACCAGTGGTGGGCCCAATTGTGCCCTCAGCATGTATCCCAAAGGGAATTTAGCCGTGCCGCATGCTACGGACCAAGGCTTCAGCACTACCAAAAGGAAGTGCATCAGGAAAATTGTCATCGTGGCTGTCAAGCCGATGTCAAGCCTATGACAAGTGACTCGAGCCAATCAAACACTCATGTGGCACATGAGGCACAGAGTTGACAACAGTGCAACCCACTTAAGAGAAATAAGACCAATTACGCGAGTAACGCGAATACAAACACGAAGTCGCAGAGAGCTTCTCCAACTCTGCTACGACTAAACCCCTTTTTTGCTCCCGACTCGACTTCCGAGGGCCGACGAAGCCTCGGACTTCCGATGCAGAAGCTCTCCGCTCACCAATGCACCAATACAGCTCGGCATAGGCACCTGGGCATGCGAAGCTGAACATCCCTGCACTTCCCTTGCACAGCTATGGTCCCTAATTACGCTGTTCAACGCCCCCTCGTGTCTGTGGGCACATGGAAAGAAACGCAATTTTGCAGCGGACTCCACCGCTGCGGCGCAGATGGCAGTCATTCCACCCCAGTTTTTTGTGCCAACACGCAGAATCCTGTCTAGACGGAACGGCCGTCAACTCGCAGCCGAATCTTGGGATGCGCCAATACCTCCTGCATTCGAAGCAGTCTGTCGCACTCAACTTCTTCAACTCTGCATTGCCTGGTCTGCATCCCAGTGCTTCGGTCCCGGTCGCGGTCGGGAAAATGCATTGCACTCCCCTTGCAGGCAACACGGATGCTATGGTCATCTAGGGTCACTAAGGTTAGACTAAGGTCATCCAATTCAAAATTCGGAACCAGCAGCACACAAATTGGCTGGATCCGAGAGTGGAGGACACCGGAGGCGAGGGGCTTTCAAGGCATAAGCTACGTGATGCTACGTGCTGCCACTAGTACATGATGGGACAACAGGCGATGCTTGAAAACTGAAAGCCTCCGTCAAGAGATGAACTTGCGACTTGCAAGCTTAGTCTGCAAAGGAAACCTTTCGAATTATTAAAGATTTAAATCGAATCGTCTACCGGCCTGGGATTTCTGATAATTCTTTGAAGAAGCGCACTTGCCTGCGTCGGGTGCCTTATGAGCCCTATGCAGCTGTCCTTGGCTTCCATGCTTAGGGGCATCGAGGTCAGGCAGCGCAAGTTTCATTCCCAGGGTTTAGTCTCAACGCTCTTCGGCAGAATGTCATTGAAAGGACCAGGTGTTTACCCTTGGGGTCCAGCTTGACTCTGTCCAGAGCACTGTAAAATTTTTCATTCACACACTTCAGGGTCGACTGAGACGAGCAAGGCGCTGCCTGCAAATTTCTCTATCCAAATCTCTACATGGTGGTCTCGCAGCAGGGGCCCTGCCGTCTCAGTCCGTAGCTCTCAAAGCTCTAACTCCTCTAGGGCTTCGGAACCTAAGCAACTAAGCAAAGAAACTGGCCAACTCCTACTTCTGAGGGCGCCAATAAACAAGCCAACTCCCACTGTTGAGGGTGGCACAAAACCCCCCGAATTAGGAGTGCAAGACATGAGCGGCCTGTGTCCCGATAACAAATGTAACAAGGACAAGCCAACAACTAAACTAGGGTCACTTCGTTCTTTCTGGCGGACGGGCGACAGTACGCAGCTAGGCAAGCCACTGAGGGCGGCTACTTATGGTGGCGGCGCGGCACCCAAAACCGCATCAGAACATGGCAGCTCTGCCTGCTCTCCTTCGACCTTGGTTCCTGGCATCCCCGGCTCGCGAACACGGATGTCTCCAGCCGGGTACTGCCTGAGATGCTTGGCAAGGAGGTAGGTCATCCACAGGGAAGGCACACTGAGGGCGAGCAGGCAGAGATTCATGGGCCCAAAATCCCCTGTGAGACTCCGGGAAAGGTCTGCAAGAGGCCAAATGAGCCAGGAAAAGCTGGCTGCCAACATGAAGCATAGGGAAGTCATCTTGCTGAAGGTCCGATTCCCGAAGCTGTGGCCAAGGAACGTGAAGAAGACTGCAAAAAGGAAGCCCCGGAAGACGCTGAAGGCGATGAAGGCAAGGACTTGTAGCTCGAGCCAGGGCACCAAGACCACGAGACCCCAAACGAAACCAAGCATCAAAACGAGGCCAAAGGTAAAGGCAAAGCCCCCTCGACCCAAGCTCATTTCAAACAAGGGTACCAAGAGCGTCGAGGGCGAAGGCATTCCCCGTTTTGTCATCTCCCAATGATTTCAGCCAATCCTTGTTGATGCCAAGGTATGCGCTTTGGCGAAAGAGCTGGGTGGTGAGAAAGCTGGCCGCAACAGCAAACTCAAGGGACCAGACCTGTTGGCGTAGAGAAAGCCCATGTAGGCGCGGCCGAGCTCCCAGATTTTGCATTCCGTCCATCGCTTTCTCCATGTTCTCCCACTCTTGCTCTGGCACATCTGGCGCTGCACTCAGCTCCTCGGCATTCAGTGCCTTTAAGATGGCCTGCGGCCGGCCCCGCCAACAAACGGCCAGAGAGATGCTCAAGAGGCAGCACAGGGCCCCGTAGCCGGCGAAGATGCTGAAGCGGGAGAAGCCTGCGTGGGATTCTGCGAGCATGTGGTGGAGGGTACTTCGGGGATCGTGAGAGGTTCTTCAGCGCGTTCCAGGCGTCATGTCGAAGCTACTGCTAGACTGCGTGTGCTCAATGTACTCATTTCGATTCTTGGGTCCATACCCCCCTTACTCGTGCGTAAGGTGCCTTCCTCAACCATGACCTGGTGACCTTGTGTTCAATGATCAATCATTGCTGCAGTGAAGCAGTTCTGCATGAGTCTACTGCGTCTGCTAATAGCTGCTGGCGGCCGTCGTGGCTAGTGATACGATCCTGTTACGTGCAAGCTTCGGGGCGGCCATGGGCGGCCTGCCAGGTAGAGTCGGTAGAGCCCGAGAGGTGTCACGGAGGATGAATCCACGAGGCAGTTCAGCAGCGTCATCACCAAGGCAAAGCGACTTCGAGGGATCACAAAAGGCAGCTTCATGGCTTGTACCTGTAGAGCCGCCCCACCAACTCCGATAAGGCCGAAGGCTATCACAAACCCATCCAAAGGAGAGCGTGTACCCGGCGTAGCCGTGGAATCCGTGGAATCCGTGGATGAGGTGGCAAGGAGAAAGAGGCCCCCTGCTTGACATATGCCTCCAAGCAGCGACAGGAAAGCCGGACCCATTCGGTCCACCACAAGTGCCAGCAAAGCAGAGGATCCAACGGTCACGAGGATGCACTCTGTAAAGAGCCTGATCATGTGACGGGCCCTTTCTGGACAGGGCTCCTCCAGCTCGGCCTGGCACACCTCCAAATAGACGCCGTCCTCTTCCAGGAGCGCCTCTCGCAATTGCAAAATGTTGCAAAATGTTGCAAAATGTTGCAAAAAGGGCCCCCCAGTTCTGATGACAGGAAGTTTGTGTGGGAGACAGCTCTTCGGACTCAGCATGCAAATGGCACAAATGCTACCAAAACAGATCTCCAAAAAAGATGGGATACCAAGGTAAGCGGCAGGGCAATGTTTCACATGTGCTTTCCACATTGCCATTGTATATCCAACTCTAGATACTGGGGAAGAATGTAAAAGCATGGCGGACTGAATATGAGCGAAGGTGACGCGCCTGAAGGGAGGCCCAGCCGTAGATGTAATACGAGAAGAAGAAAGTTACCAAACTTCCCAGTACTACCATGAGCCATTCCCGGGCGCCGGGTTTCGGAACGGGAACCTGCGCTTGCCCAGCCATGTGCGTGCAAGTTGCCGAAAACCCAGAAAGATGTGGAGTGCTGTAGCCAAACGCTGAAGGCGACAAGTGCAGAGAGATGCAGGGCAGAATGCACAAGCTGCTCAACCCTAAACCCCAAACCCCAAACCCCAAACCCCAAACCCTAAACCCTAAACCCTAAACCCTAAACCCTAAACCCTAAACCCAAGTAAGGCACGAACTGAGGGCGGAGAACTTCGAAGAGCGACGAAGACACCTGCGGCTTGGTGCTCAAGGGCGCTAATAAGGATGGGACGCTTTGGTGCAACCTGGAGCCACTTTGCCTTTTCAGTACTCTTATCAAAAGTGCTCAATATTTTGGAATCCCCTCCCCCAAAATGCGAGAGAAAAAAACAAACGATCAACGCCGCCTCTGCTTCAGTCCAGGGGGCGCCAGCAACATGGCTTGGCGCTGCTCTGAGCCTCTCCGTCTCTTGTGTTTCGGCCCCTATGGGAAGGGCTCTTGAAGTTGGATGTTTGCGGATGTTTTTTTTTGGGGATGTTTCTGGATGCCTAAGCACAGAGAAGCTCGGGTTTCGGTCCGTGCCTGCGGTGGAGAAAACACACCTTCCCTTTCCCAAACTCCTTGGACTACGTTGCGCATGAATGTTTCAGGATCGCTTTTCCCCGTCCGGTAGTAAAGGCACAGTCATTCTCTGCATCAGTTCTTCCTAAGCTTCTAAGTACAGCGCTTACACTCAGAAAAAAGCGTTTGAGCGGACACTGCAATAAGTTCAGGATCCTCTCTGGGTTCTCTGGCATCTCTATAGCATCTGAGGACTTGCAAATAAATGGGTGCAAGCAGCCTGTCAAGGCCCATCAACTCTGGCATCATTCTCCAGAGGCGATAACCTACTTGTGCAAGATCTCTCAACAACTAGAAGGCGCCTGTGCAGAACGCAATCAGAATTGTTCAGGCAAGCTAAGCTAGCATATAGCGGAAGTTCGCAACGATTGTGGCACCACATCACATTTCAGGGAAATAACAGCTCCTCCTCTGCGGTGAATCCCAACTAAAGAAAAAAACCTCACGTCTAATGTACCTAGACGAGTGGATCCAACTGCTCTCAGCATCAGAAGACTACCGTCCAGTGGCATGCAAAAGTGGACCGCTAAGTGTTTTCTGCCACTTGCCCCACTTGCTCCTTGGGTGGAAAACGACATTGCCCCTAAACCCGCATCTTACCCGTGCTTGCCCCAACCACATGTCTGCCTTAATCCGGGCCACTTGCCACACTTGGAACCCATGCTGCGGCAATTAGTGGTCACCGTGGACGTCCACAATGCAAAATCCAAAACCCAACACTCAAGATCCTGCTCCAGGCTACAAATAAGTCTCGGGGCCAATCTGCTGACTAACAGGCCACGCGTTTTGCATGGCCGGTCTCGTTTATGCGCAATGGATCCTTTTGCTACAAAGCTTAAGGGACAAAAAAACCTGTAGGCTTTCTTTGACGGCTGCGTCCTCCCCTCTCAACCCCGTGCTTGCTTTGTAAATGTAGTAAAGAAGATCATACCATGAGAAAGACTTTCGTTAACAAACCAAACCTTCCAAACCATGAAATGAAAGTGTGAAACTGATTTGTTGCTTTTCCCCACGGTTGTTCGATTTTAAGTCAACCATTCTCCTCGTCCGTCTTCGTCCTCTCCGTGGGTGTTTGCGTGCCTGCCTGTCTGCTTGCGTGCGTGCGTGCCTAAGTGCCTGCGTGCCTGCGTGCGAGATCCCGTCCGAGTATCCTGGAGTGCCCAACCCCTCTTACTGCTTCAAATCAGTATTTGCAGTCCACTTGTAAGTTAAGAGCAGCTCAGCTGCGCACTCACATCGTGCTGTGTCCACGCTTGTTGGCTGTTGCAAGCTGTCGCAGGGTTTGCACTGTACCAAACAATGCAGTTTTGCCCTAGCGGGTGGTAGTCGGAGCCCTCTCCATGCCCTTCTGCAGAGATCAATTGTTGACCATCCAGCCTTCTTTGGCCAATATGGATCTGGCACCGGCTACGCCCACTTTTGTGCTTCGCGTTGTCTTCCATCTCGGAAGGTCGATTTTGCAGATGGCCCAATCCTTTGCCAATGCGGGTCTTTTTTTTTTTTGGACTGACGCCTCTTTACTACATCAGTAGCGCAGTAGGCCGGTCTTGTTGGGCTCGACATAACAGGTGAAACGAAGTGAGAGCCAAACTGTACAAGCCAGCGAGCGAAAAAGAAGTCGTGACTACAAAGAAGCAACCGCTAGCGCAGAGGCCCTTATTGCAAGACAACTTATCGCAAGGCCAGCGAGGTGAGACCAATGCAAACATGAACCTACCGGCACCAATCACTCAGCTGCCCGTCACCCATAGCAATGCTGCGCCACGTCTGGTACAGACATTAAGCGAAAGTATGGGTAGGCCGTAAGGCAAGGAACCTCCGTCACCTAAACTGCTCAACGCGTCCGTAGAGACAGTCCCCACACAAGCGCCAGGGCCGTAGCAATAGCACTCAGGACTCTTTTTTGGGTTGGCAAGGAAGTTGCAAGCACACTGAAAACAGGCACAATGCACACAGAGCGCCAGAAGAGGCGCCCCCTCCCCCCCCGGCGAGCGGGGGCTGGCAAGGGGCTGGTGTGGCTTCACGAGGCTGCCGTCGGCGCTGTGTGAGTCCGGGCGTCCTCACATAGCTATTCGGGGAGAGTACCCTATTTGGAGGCTCCTTGTGTTTGCGCCGAAAGTTTTGAGGCTCGACCTCATGGCCATAGGGCGGGCCTGAAGCGCTGCTTGCAAGAGGCCATATTCTTACAGCCCCGCGCAGCGGCCGATTTTTGAGACGGCACAAGAGCCCCAAAGGCTGCTGGCTGGCACTTGGCTCATGTGCTTCCCAGGTACCGGGAGCCTATCGGCGTGGCATGCTTAGCCTGGTGCAGTTTAAGGCCCCCAAGGCTGCTTAACGGTCTGCAGCCAACCGCGCGTCAAGTGTGAGAGTCAAGGGGCCTTGTAACTCGGAGCCCCGCGCAGCGGCCGATTTTTTGTGGAGAGCACTTCAAGCAGGTTTACCCCGTGACTACACCTGATGCGGGACCCACAGCAAAGTGCAGGCCTAGTCACTTCTGGGCTTGCTGGAGAAGGTTGAAGCAGCAGTTCTTCACATCTCTTCTGGGCCTGCTGGCGAAGGCTCCGGCAGCCGTTTGCGGGGCCTAATCACTTCTGGGCCTTCTGGAGAAGTTTGAGGCAGCAGTTTGAGAGGTCTACTCACTGCTGGGCCTTCCGGAGAAGTTTTAGGCAGCCGTTTGAGAGGCCTAATCACTGCTGAGCCTTCCAGGGAAGGTTGAGGCAGCAGTTTGAAAAGCCTAATCACTTCTGGGCCTTCAGGCAACTGTTGGGACAGCAGTTTGAGAGGCCTAATCATTTCTGGGCCTTCAGAAGATGTTTGAGGCATCAGTTTGAGAGGTCTACTCACTGCTGGGCCTTCAGGAAAATTTTTTGGCAGCAGTTGGAGAGGCCGACCCACTGCTGGGCCTTTCGGAGAAGTTTCAGGCAGCAGTTTGAGAGGCCTAATCACTTCTGAGCCTTCCGGGAGGGTTTAGGCAACAATTTGATAGGCCAAAGCACTTCTGGGCCTTCCGGAGGCGCCTAATCATTCTGGGCCTTCTGGAGAAGACCTAGGCATCAGTTTGAGAAGCTTACTCCCTTATCGCAGAAGCCGCAACGGTAACGAGCAAGGTGTGTCCATCGTGCTGCGCAAGATAGACCAACACATGTCCGTTGTATCCGGCACTCTAAGGGGGTGGCGCTGTCCATGAGCCATGGCGTTTGTTAACAGGGCCGCGCCGGATTACAGGCCGATTACAGCGATGACGCGCTTGTGGCAAGGAGTGCCCCCGCCAGGCACCCCTCCAGCATGAACAGGCTTGTTCCTGCCGGTTGTTCCAGGCACTTTTCCAGCAAAAAGCGGACGATGCCTCCGCCCTATGCTGCGACTAGCACTGTCACAAGGGTGAGGGGCAGACCAGAAACCTAAGCAGCAAACCAAACCCTAAATGCAGACTCCTGCACACCCGCCGGCTGCCACCACGCACAGAGCTGCACACAGACGAGCCCGCCAGGCTGATCAGCAAGACGCCTTCGCGGAGCCCCGCAGCGCTAGGTGCATAATAGGCAAGTGGATGTAAGGGAGCATTTTGAGGAAAGGGAATGCTACTACAGTTTAACACTACACCCAGCACGCTTGCACCGACTGGCCAGACCGTTCGGTTGTTAATCGCCTTTGATTTGGGGAGCGGCCAGCAGACCTCAACAGTGCGATCCTGAGCCCTCCTACACCCAAAACGCAGGACAACGTGTAGAGTTGCGTCTCACACAGCCGCATGAATTGCGACTCACACAGACGCATGAGGTTTGCGCAGCATGTGCAAAACGACAGTTTTCAGGCTGCACCCCAACCCGCCTGGCACGCTAGGGGAAAGTGCCCGACAGGACCTGGGCATGGACCTGGGCACCTCGAGCCTGTGCACCTTGAGCCTGTGCATGTGCGGGCACCTGCAAACACGCCTGACCAGGAAGGGCCTGCGCAGCTTGAACCTGTACATTTGCGGACACTTGCGAGCACGCCTGACCCGGAAGGGCCTGAGTGTGTTGGCACCTGCGAGCACGCCTGACCCGGAAGGGCCTGTGCCCCTTGAGCCTGTGCCTTTGCTGGCACCTGTAAGCACGCCTGACCCGGAAGGGCCTATGCACCTTGAGCCTGCGCATGTGCGGGCACCTGCAAGCACGCCTGACCCGGAAGGGCCTGTGCACCTTGAGCCTGTGCATTTGCAGGCACCTGCAAACCTTGAGCCTGTGCGGGCACCTGCAAGCACGCCTGACCCGGAAGGGTCAGTGCACCTTGAGCCTGTGCTTTTGCTGGCACCTGCAAGCACGCCTGACCCGGAGGGGCCTGTGCACCTTGAGCCTGTGCATGTGCAGGCACCTACAGCCACGCCTGCCCCGGGCGGGCCTGTGCACCTCGAGCC